AATGTCGGCGCAGACCTGCAATGCGTAGTGCTGTTTGTTGCGAGGGCGGCGAGCGTATGCGTGTAAGGCTGCTTGCCAGTCGTGTATGTGGAAACCACTCGCATCAAACTTGAATGAGGGGAAGTGCTGTGCAAAGTAGTCCAGAACCGTTTGAAACGCTTTGGCCGAGCGTGCCCCGCCGTCCAGCTGCTGGTCGCGAACCTTCGAATACGCCGCTTGAAGATAATCACTCCTGGGCATCTCCATGGCAGCGTAGTAACCGGTGGCGATGGCTTCGTCACGTGACATGGACGCACCCCAGGCCAGACAGACTCCACCCGGCAGGTTGCTGGCGTCCATGAAGTCGGAGGCCGAGAACCAGGGGAAGGCCGTGAGGCGCTGCGTGTTGTTGAAGTAGCCGTGACCAGACAGGAAGTCTGAGCCGACGGCTTGATACGTGGCGATGAGCTTATCCGTGTACGAATGTGCCATGGCAAATATTGGGTCGATGGGCAGCGACACATCGCGCAGTGAACCACCGATGCCGTAGTGAAAGAGGACGTCAAACCCGCCCAGCAGCCCGGCCATGAGCAGAGCGGCGTCGGAACTGGGCACGGAGAGGATTGCTTGAACAACTGGCCAGGGACAGGGGGCTGACGAGTCGTCAAGGTTCCTTCTCAGACACGTGGTCTTCAGCGGTAACTTGACGCCACGGTACTGCAGTAAGGGCGTGGTGTACTTCCCCTCGGCCAGATCCCCGTCACGCACACAGTGATCCGGGCCGGAGCCATCACTGCCAAAGAGGTGTTTGTCCCGGAGTGGGGGCTGATCGGCCCAGGACCGGGTGTAGTGCTTGGGGATGTCCCAGAAGGGCATGGTGATGCGGCAGTCGACGCGCCGCAGTAGGTTTTCCAGAGCGATGAGAAGCAGGCGATGGAATGGCACGATGGTTGGGTAAAGATCAATGTCACGGCGCACCATCTGGCACGCAAACACAGCATGCGACCAAACTAGTGCCGAAAATTCTCGTTTGTAGCGCTTATCTTGTGACACTAAGAGATACGCATCGACCAGTCTCTGTTTCTCCTCTTCGCTCAGCTCCTCATAGCTTTTCCGAAGTCGGCAGCATTTCCACCGTCCAGCGATGCACCGACACTGAAGGGCGCATTGTGCACTAACTCGTGTGGCGTCGCGTTTCGAACACCGCCTGTTGTTAGCTGGAATGGCAGTGACTGGGTCTACGTCATCAACACCCCCGTCACGTGCCCCTGTTGCCATTGATGCTGCTCCGTCTCCCGCCGCTGCTCGTCTTGCTGGTGTTCTGCCGTGCGTGCTATCAACGTCGCGATGGTTCAGAGCTAGGTCCTTCATAATCGCCGACATGGTTTGTCTATCCAGGCTGCCACTGTCTTCTTGTTGTGCGTTCACACTGCCATGACTGACCATCGTTACGAGCACAAACAGTTGAACGAGAAGAGCAAGCCATCTGACAGTACATGTGCTCAATCCATATGCCATTACTGGCGGCCACAGTCGCAGGCGTGGAGAGCAATGTCGGATGTGACATTCCTCCGGCAGCTCCGTGTGGTGTCGCCCACGTACATGCATAACGTTATGTGTAGAGCCGCGTGCTCTGCTGCTGCTGCTGACAGTACCAGCGCCGGAATATGCACTACTCCGGTGACTACCGCATGCGCGCAGGGCTAGCATCGGCATGGTTCACTGCTCCCGCGATGTCACTATGCCAGTCAAGCTCTCCGGCTTCGGTCAATAGCAGTTGGGTTCAGCATGACAGCAGACTGTGCGCCGGATGCACGTAGTCAGTGGTTGGGACGCACCGCACGTCGCCTATGGCGTATGTCAACGAGCTGATCGCTTCCAGTAAGTAAGTTCAAGAGGCGCCAGTTATGTGATACTGTAGTGATCTGCCAAAGCTCTAGTATTGGGACTTCACCGTGGATGCGTAAATAGACAACTCCTGACCTCGGCGTAGCCCACCCAACTTGCACAGCCTCGGGATCGGCTGCAAGGAATCGTCAGACGATACACTTTTGTACAGCTGTGCAAGGATGGAGACAGACTAGATACTAGTAATATTATGGGGAACACTCTACTCCAGAGATATCGCAAACGTCCACTGTGCTCCTCCGTCGTCCCGTCGAGGAGCAATAACCAATGACTATGTATCCGATGGGCTACCCACTAGGAATGCCAGCGCTGACTCGGCTGAGGCTTGGCGAGATGTACGATATGTGCAGACTAGTGCCCTGTGCAGTGGTGATCCAGTCAGGTGCTATATCCAGTGTCGTAGTGAGGTCAGAGTCTAGAGAGTGAACTAGTGCCAGTGGTGGAGTGCACTGTCTGATAAGTGATATCGACGAACTTCAGAGTACGGCGCGTCAATCACAGTTGCACACATGCACATGCAGGTACTACATGTACGGAATTAGACAAAGTGTCTGAAGTCCTTGCTGCAAACAATGTACACAATTATAATATACTAGCGCAGTCAGTAGTGGAAAGACGGGAAGCCTCACAGACGAGTGCAAAGATTGCCACCATAGCCATAGGTGATTATCACATCGGAGTACTAGTACCCAATGGTATTACCATGTATTCCGGTCAACGGGCGCGTTCCAACCCAGAGTGGTGCTTGGGCTTAGAGCTACCCAGACAGCCAAGATCTGACCTTCACCAGAACGACACGCTTCGTGTTGCTGCTCTACAATATTACACTGTACTGGGGCGAGACGTTGTTGCGAAGTGCACAGCAGGCTACACAAGGCACTAGCACCGCACACCTGTGCTCAAAGAACTGACCTGACCTGGACCAATGGTTGAAGTCCTACTCCGACTCCTAGCCGATACTTCTCACTCTTCCAATGATGTCCACATCAGAACATCAATATGCCATGGTGTACAAACTCCTGGGAAAGTTCAGAGTGGAACTCGCATCACCGTTACACTGGCTACTCTCTGTGGCTGCTACTGCTGCTACTGCTAAAAGGTGTTTGATTGAACGCACAAACCAGTGGTGATATGAAGGCAAGGTTAAAGGCAATGAGAGCAAAGAATTGAAAAGGTGAACAGCAAAATTACTATGATACTAACTGTGAGTATCACTGTGTTCCAAGAGCTGTGAACTGACAGACGTCGTAACGGTGTGAACGCAGCAACCAGTGTTTAATAACTATAACCGCAGTTATAGGGTGGCGGCTATTTTATACAACCTGCTGACATTCGGTCTTAAACACACCAAGCATAACCTTCGCGCATATTCCCGTCACCCATGCACGCAGACCAGTGTTTCGACCATACATGCTGCCGCTGCCGTTGCTGCTGCTACTGTGGATCTGAGCTCGCCCAGACAAATCACGATGACCCCAGCATACGGCCAAGACCTAGTGTGAACGAATCAGGCTACCCAATATTCCAGATCAGCTTGTGAGCCGAGTCGGGCCATAATCGACCGGTTTGAGGAGCCAAGCCTGAGGCGACAACGTTTGCCGCGCAGTACATTGGAAATTCCCAGACCGCTTTAGTCGTCTCAGGTGAGGCCAAGGAAATCCAACGCCTTCAATGCTAGCCACACACCGCGTCCACAGTTTCCAATCGCATGGGCAGCAATCACGTGCATGGATGACCCCCCAGAAACGGTGCTCAAGGGCATTTTGTCATGCGGGCGCACCCAGCCGGGGATCGGATTTCATTCTACCCCAACAGTGAATAGTACTACTACACTACAGTGCTGGCAACTGAAATCCGACCCCCTGGGCGGCGCGCCGCGTCGCCCTGGTGGTCGGATTTCAGTTGCCAGCACTGTAATTTTTACTGTATTCTGTGGCTGACACAACATCGAACACTGTGTAGTGAACTTGGGGAAATGAAGCTGCCCAAACACGGAATGGAAAGAACTGTAGGCTAAAGGCGAGCTGACTGAACATCGAAGGTAGTGTTGTGAAGCCGGCAGAACACTGAACTGCACGCTCACTCTCAGTGAAGTCTGTGTTCGTGAAACTTTCCTACGCACGGTTGGGCCCGGATTTCCAAATTTTATGGACATGGTTGGTGCGATTAGACGTGACAATAACTTGTCACTCGTGTAGAGGCAGCAGATTGACGCCTGGAATTCCACTTAGCCACGAGATTGAGCCCTGGAGTGGTGTTCTTTACACGGGGTATGCACGTTTTGATTAAGTTTGTTAAAATATCAGGTGCTCGACTAGGGTGCCTAACAAGTGTGACACGAAGTGACAGAGAACAATGGAAGGTAAATCCTCCTACTCCAATCCGGGGCGGGCAAACATTTGCATACAATGTACAATGTAGATGCTAACCCATGATGCTTTCACGCCCTTCAGTGCAGTGTCCAACGTGAACCTCACCCAGAACTCCTATACCTCATACTTGTACTCCTGCCCATCACCGAAGCGATGATAGCCAACAAAAATCAAGAGTACGGTGAAACCTGTGTAAAACGACCACTCAAGGGACCTTCAAAATGTGGTCTCTGTTACCAGGTGGTCTCCTTATCCAGGGTCATTTGACTGGGAATAACATCCATTGGGTCCTGGTTTCGGTGGTCTTCTAGAACAGGTGGCCGCCTTATCCGAGCGGTCGCCTTGACAGGTTTGACTGTACATACATGTAAGCCTTTTGCACTGTTGCCAGTGTTGGTGTTAGACAGGGCAACTCCTGTCCTATGCCTAGGGCTGGGAGCTAGGGATCCACATCTTCATGTGCCTTGACCATGCATGTTATCCCTACTAGTGACGTGGCACGTCACGCGCTGTCTACGTATCAATATTATGCACGGGCCTGTTCCATTATTCTCAGCACAGACGACAGTCGACAGTCATGTAATTCAGTAATACAGCTGCAAAATGAGCAGCAATGTCAGACAGCATGGACTACGCTGCTAGAAGTACCCTGCTGCAGCTCCAATCATGGTCTATTGTAAACATGAATTGCTAATTACGCGCCTGCATTCTTTGGTCCTCGCCTCGCTTTGGTCCTCGCAGTTAAGCCCCCGCTGGTATGTTATCCTAATAGATGATCAAAGAACCCTATTTTGAAAGAGTAACGCATGCTAATGCTCATGCCATGCACATCTTGCCAATGTCGGTGCTGTGGAATCGCGTAATTAAATAAACCCTCTAGGACCTGAATAGCACGTCTTAGTGCCCTCCTTACGGCCGCAGGGCGTTCATACTCAGTCAGCGTGCTTTTGCCCCATACTCAGTGAGTGTGTTTTATGTACACAAGTGCGAGAGCCACCAGCCTGGTACTACAGACCACTTCGCCTGGCACGGACCGTCTCACATTCATAATAATTATTATTATTGTTTTTCTGTGACAACCTCTAACTAAGGACCACCTGCCACTAAAGACCGCTTTTTCTGGCCCCAAGGCCAAGGGGTGGTCGTTAGTCACAGGTTTTACTGTACAATGTTCGTCGATCGTGTTATTAGTAACCAGTTCTTAACAACGTAAACTGATCCATAGGCTGGATATCTCGTACGTTGCTGCTGCTTACCTACGTAGGTTTGTCTGTACTATGCTGTTGTTAGTTTCGAGGTTTTAGAACCTTAGAGTTGATACGTTGTGGAACACTTGTGGGAAAATAGTCAATGTCTTCATTCATTGTGTTCATTTCTGTCTATGCCACAAGTATGTGTATGGGTCACAGAGGCAGTATGCTTAGGTTCTGCGAACGTGCTCAATACCTGATACAGGCCGAGCGGCGTACACAAAGGCACACAATGAGAACCTTGGGCAAATTCCGTTGTGACTCCGAGTGTCATGGCTGAACCAATCATCAGACAACGATATGTGAAAGGGTCATACATTCTTCGTTGTTGTTTTAGCTATTCTTCCTTGCGCTGTACTTTAATCCATTGCCCTTGTTCATTTGATGTTGCCTGTATTTCACCTGAACTTGCTGAAGATACGGCGAACGGAAGTACAGTAGGTATCGGTTATAGCGTGGGTGTTTGAAAAACGACTTTCTATTCTTAATTCAGATATTTCTTACACACGATACATCAAGTGTGACATATCATGTGCATGTACGCAGAGGCAGGAAGATGATCGTACATGCAATGTAGTGTTACTGTGCATGCGACTGGCCATAGTCACATAGGCTTACCATGTGGCTATGCAACATGACTCATGAGTTACATGACCGCAACAGTTGAACCTATTATTATTATTATTATTATTAGACACAATCTCATAGCATGTGACAAGCATAGCTAATGCAGGGACAGAATCCCCTGAGACAAGGGCGTTGAGCCAGCCACGGCAATAGTAAGCTAGGAAAACAAAGCAAATATGAATTAAAGCAGAAAATGAATGGAAAATTACAAAGAAAAACGAACCTGCAGCACTACGGCCCGCGGCCAACGCGAGTCAGATCGGAACTGCATTGGACACATGTTATTACTAAAGGCGATATACTTTGTACTAATCTGGTATGTTTTGCTACACAAAGTCCATTCTTAGGACCGATATATTCTACTGTACGATAAAATTGCTTGTAAGAATAAAAGTGCACTTGAAATCCATGTTATGATTATGAAAACATGAGAGTTCATTCTTGTAGGCAGTATATTCTTTTACACGACCACGCTATAACCGATACGCACTGTACGTGTATAACAGTGTAACACTTTCAAGGTGATTTTTTAAGATCCTGAAGTGCGTCCTTTTTCTCAGTGTCATTGTGTGTAGTTTGCCCGTAAGTGGAGGCTGTGTATCAAGAGGCTGGTAGTGTAGACGGTGATCATGTCCTATCCCTCTTACTCGTCTTATCCTTTCCGTCTACCCGGGCGAAATCTGACAAGCATGCCTAATGGGTGTCTTCGGGATACTAGTACTAGTTGATCACTATAAGGTCCGTATTCGCAACTCAAGTTTGTGTTGCTCTCCGACGTGCTAGTACATGTACATGTATTTGCCAACACCACGCCCGCGTATTACAGCGTATGTAAACTATCCTAGAAGAGTTCCTGATTATGGCCATAGACCGAAACGACCGGTGAATGAATAAACGAATTTTGAGTCAAGTGTCCTTCAAATAGAAATCAGTGTGAGGTGGTGAGGCACGGCTGTTAGCCCACAACATGATGCCAGTGAAGTAAGTAATTAAAATTCTGGCTCTTGTTTCACTGTATTTTGCAGTGGTCGTCATGGTTATGGAAGCCATTTATCAGCGTTTGTACCGAACTTGTGCGTTCAGAAAGATAGTATAATCCTGTTGCAATTGTTCAAGTCACGTGTCGAACAAATCCTCTCTTTCCCTTTCGTTGTGTTCCTTGCGATCATCGTGTAACTGTATAAAACTGTATAACTGTACAACTGTCTCCGAAACGCTTGTTTACATGTGCATGTACAGTGAAACCTGTCTAAGACGACCGCTCAAGGGACCTTCAAAGTGTGGTCTCTGTTGCCAGGTGGTCTCCTTATCCAGGGTCGTTTGACAGGAAATAGCATCCCTTGGTCCTGGTTACAGTGATCTTCTGGGGCAGGTGGTCGCCTTATCCGAGTGGTCGCCTTATCCGAGTGGTCGCCTTATCCGAGTGGTCGCCTTATCCGAGTGGTCGCCTTATCCGAGTGGTCGCCTTATCCAAGTGGTCGCCTTATCCGAGTGGTCGCCTTATCCGAGTGGTCGCCTTATCCAAGTGGTCGCCTTATCCGAGTGGTCGCCTTATCCGAGTGGTCGCCTTATCCGAGTGGTCGCCTTGACAGGTTTTACTGTACATGTACATGTAATTATTTGACTACTTTTAAAATATCAGCCGACACTGCGACACTGCGACACTGCGACACTGCGACACTGCGACAGGGTAATCAATCTCTATTATCCGGAGAGTGCCCAATACTCCAGGGCGAAGAAATGCTTTAAAGATTGAACGCGGGTGGTGAGCCAACGTTATTATGCAAAAAAGGTCATGACTGTCTCCTTTTTATGTCTTAACAAGTTAACATTACATCATTTACATGTACACCATTTCCCCACTTAGCCATCATCAGGTACGAACAAGGACGCTACTTTTATCAATCTCACACGGTGACGAGCGATACATAATATGTACAGAGTGTGTACAGAGTGTGTACAGAGTGTGTACAGAGTGTGTACAGAGTGTGTACAGAGTGTGTACAGAGTGTGTACAGAGTGTGTACAGAGTGTGTACAGAGTGTGTACAGAGTGTGTTCCGCTCATATACATGGAAAGCGTGATAGCGTGTAAATAATTCCCACGCCCAAAGTCGGGCGCCAATCAAAGTGCGGAAATATCAAACTTCAAAGACAGACT